ATATAAAATTTTTATTTTTCAAAGTATTCAACAAGGAGGACGGGGTAGTTAGGTATGCTGACGACTAGGATTTGGCCTTTTCTCTTTTGAGGTAGACCTTTCCTCTTTTTCTGCGCTCTAAAGGCGAGATTCCATATACGTGTCTCCATTAAATCTTAAAAGTGATCTATGAATTATGATGATCTCCTTCTCTCCCACTCCACTATTTGAGAACTGCTCCTCTTTTCTTCTCCTTTTTTTTGGTTGGCAAAAATTATGGATCCAATTTTATATTTACAAAACTAAGGATTTAGGTAACTTTTTATCTGATCACATCATTAATGATTGTATTCTTCTCTTTTGATAATTAAACACCCATTAATCTTATTTTATGGTAAAATCATTTTTCAAAAATAAAGTAATTTTATTAATAAAAATAAAAATAATTATAATTCTTAATTCTTAATTAATAAAATAAATAATATTTATTAATTAATAAATTAAAATTTTAAATACAATTTTTAAAAAATTAATAACTTTAATTTTTTTTTTATATTTTTTTTATGATGACAATATCATGCTACTTGAAAATATGGTGAAAAAGGAAAAGAAATAAAATGATGATCTTTTTCCTTGCATCAAATCATATGCAATTTCAAAATCAAAACCCCTACTGGACTCTCATTTTTTCCTTTTGATTGATGGGTCAGTCAACTAATCCTCAATTTTCTCACCCTCCATCATCTAATAATTCAAATCAATAATTTGCACCCTTAACATGGAAATTGCTACTAGCTTACTAGGTAATTCACTACAAACTCGAAATAGAAATTTCATCGGTAATTATTTGGGTACTGTTTATGGAGGGGGAAGAACAACTTAGAGTCTTTTTAATATATGTATTTTTTTAATGTAACAATGTATTTCTTCATTTTCTCCGCTAGGAGCTGATGATAGTTTACATGGAACAATCTTAAATTGGGTTTGCAATAGGAAAGCTTGGCGTATTTGGAGGGAACTGTTAAGAAAAGACAAACAGAAACAGGAGAATAAAAATGTTTTGCACGTGTGTTTACTTTATATTATTAGATATAACAATAAATGTAAAACATAAATTTTATTAAAGAAATTTATATTAT